CCCCAAAACCCCAAAACCCCAAAACCCCAAAACCCCAAAACCCCTCCGATGGTTTAAATTATTGGCATAAATATAATACCAAAGATGGAAACTACTCCAAATCCGCTAGAATACTTTAAAAATACTCGTAAATGGGTTCCAAATTTCTCTATTGAAGACCAGATGCCAGGCCTCGAAAAGTACAGAAATCAGCGTAAGTGGCAACCTTAGAATCTAGTCCTCACCATCATGAGCTATAATGTACTTGCAGAGTCCTACCTCAGCCATGTGGATTATGGAGATGTAGAAGAAAAGCACCTCAGTTGGGACTACAGGTAAGCCCTTTAAGAGTTCAACAGTGGTTTATCTTACCAATAGTCTCAACCTTCTACTTTTTGACTTAATTTTCAGAGATTTTCCGGATTTAAACCAATATATAGACATAAACTAATCCAAGACGAAATAGAATACTTGAATCCAGATATTATCTGAATGCAAGAGCTTGAAGATAAGGAGCTTACTAAAGCTCTGTCTGAAAGTAAGCAAAAGTGCTAATTTAAACTCCTCTTAAGGCGAATTGTCCTCTTAAGCCCCTCTTCATTCTCTTATTAGATTAGCTGTTCGGCTATTTTCTAGCGGAAGTCTGCAGCTTCGGAATATTTCTCAATTTCTTGACAGTTTGTGCGTACATTATTAAGAAAATGTTCTGAAAATGCTTTATAGAGACAGAAAGGAGAGAAACAATGCCAAACTACATGTCAACATCAATTTATAAAATTGGAAAATAAAGACTGAGTGTGTATATTTTGGAAATCCGAAAAATTCGAATCAGTCGGAACCTGGTCTATAGAATTCAACAATCCTCGAATGACTTCGCATCTTTATAACAAACAACATGTCGCATCCTTTGTGGCTCTGAAGATGATCACTCATGAGAAGAAAAGATTGGTGATAGTCGGAACAACTCATTTATTGTTCAATATGAACAGAGGAGATATCAAATTAGCACAACTAGATCTTGCCACACAATCTTTAGCGATGATCAAAGAAAGCCTTAAGGAAAAATACCCTGAATATGAAATCTCCACTGTCTTTTGCGGGGATTTCAACTCTATCTCTCGAAGTGGGATCTACCAGTACCTCTCTGAAGGGAAATACGACTGTTCTTCGCAGAATAGGAATGATATCTCTGGCCAAAAGTAAGAGATGTGCTTAAAATTTAGGATAAAATTCTCCAAAACAGAAAAAGGTTATAAATCAATAATTCAGAAATTACAGCCAAATCCTTATGCAGAGGTGCTGAAACTCCCTCAGTGGTACCTAGAGATCACAAATACAAAGATATCAGTTAGGAAGCCTGACCAGGCCAATGTCTTTATTGAGTTCTGGCTAAATTGTAACCTTAAAAAGATGATGAGAACAGCTGCTAATATGGAAAAAGAGATGTCTAGAGGTCACACCAGCAGTAAGTTTAAGCTTTATGATTTATCTGATTCTCTAGAAAAATAAAAGATGGCTCAAAGACCAAGCTAAATCCAGAGAAAGCCAAGATGCCTGGCCTGGAGTTAACCCAGAGAATTATTCCTCACTAGAATATCTTAAGAGCCACCCAGGAGGTACCGAAAAGAGGTCAGATAAGTTTGTTCTGACCAACCATGCAGGAAAATTTAAAAGTGTATATCCTGAAGGAATGAAACTTCTAAAGGCGGTTCTGTTTGAAGAATCTAAGGAAAATCCATACTTTGATCAACTAGATTCCCTTGGAGTTGATAGAGAGAAGATCAAAGAAAAATATAAGAAAGGAGACACTATTTTTGGAGCATTCAAACCTAATTTTGAAAATAAGAAGGAATTTAACCAATACTGGCATGGAACAACTCAGGAATTAGCTTTCTCATCTTATTTTGAAAAGAAGCAACTGATAGATTATATTTTGTTCCAAGGTGAGAAGATACAAGTCAACAGAGTATTAGATGTCCCTTGTATGTATACAGATTTGTCTCCTTACAAAGGATCTCCAAATGAGTGAATTCCTTCAGACCATCTCCCAATAATGGCTGAGTTTTACATAAGCTAGTTTAATTTATGCTTTAAAAGATCGAATCCCATATCAATAAAAGAGAGTTCCTTGGGGTTTTGGGGTTTTGGGGTTTTGGGG